AGTTCGGTTAATTTTGGATTGAAACTTTTGAAACCATAAGACTAAATAAATCTTATCCCCTTTCTATTGTTTTTCTCAGGGGTTTGTCACAACGATAAAATGTCTGCCTGTCACAGAACTTCAATATGTGAAGGGGTGGGCTGGAGAGATGGCTCAGTGGTTAAGAGCACTGGCTGCTCTTCCAGAGGTCCTGAGTTCAATTCCCAGCAACCACATGATGGCTCACAACCATCTGTAATGAGATCTGGCGCTCTCCTCTGGCGTGCGGGCATACACGGAGGCAGAATGTTGTATACATAATAAATAAATCTTAAAAAAAAATTAAGCTCTAGCACACAGATTTTTTTTAAAAAAAATATGTGAAGGGGTGAGAGCGACAGACACATTGTGTTATACTAACCACAGACCTCAGTCTCTACCACGCAGGCTTTTCTGCAGGGCACTTCACAACAGGGTACATTCCAAAGAGTAGGTGAGCAAGACACCCAAAAAGAAAGCCAGATTTTTTTTTATAAGTCATTCTCTGAGCTATTTTTCACCATCTAATTTTTTGCAAGTGAGTCACATATTCAAGGGAAAAGGGGTATCCAGATATCTGGACACCAGCAGGCATAGATCACCAGGGACCATGCTGTAGGAGGCTCACTGCTCACTACAGCATCTGAGCAGATAATACCCTAAAAGGCCACTATACTGAGCAGTGACAATCTCAAAAACCACAATCACAGCCCAAACTACAAATGTTGCAAGGAAGCCGAGATTGTAGCAAAACCTTGAGATTCTAATGATCCCACAATGAAAATGTTAACACAAAACGCGCTAGCAGGTGGTAGGCATGCGTGCAGAAGGTTTAAAAGTTCTGTTTTTATTAAATATGAAACTGGTACACAAAATGAGTGCCTATAAAACATATGTAAGTGATAAAGAAGTATGATATAATTTGCATACATGGTTGTACTACCCAGTGTTAGGGAACGGATGATAAGGACTCCCGAGGTCTCCAATAGCTTCTATTTTCCTTCCCTCCCAGCACAATCATGCTGCATTTATATCTCAGAAATGTTTGTATCTCTTCATGTGATACAGTTTTCCCCTGCCTTGTATAAATGGAAGTAGGGCTGGTGAGATGGCTTAGTGGGGAAGGTGCTGCTGTACTAACCCGGTGACCTAAGTTCAACCCCACGGTCCCACAATAGAAGAAGGAAATCAAGTTTGGTTTCCAGCACTCATGTCCTGTTCCAGGGAATCAGACAATACAGGCACCCACACTCACATGCACACACCCACACTCACATGCACACACCTACACTCACACACCCACACTCACATGCACACACTCACACACGCACACACCCACACTCACATCATGCACACACTCACACACTGACACAGACACATAAATCAAATCTTTAAAAGAATAAAACTGGAAACGTACTGTGCATATTTCTCTTAAAAATTAAGTTTCTGGGCCGGGCAGTGGTGGCACACGCCTTTAATCCCAGCACTTGGGAGGCAGAGACAAGCGGATCTCTGTGAGTCTGAGGCCAGCCTGGTCTACAAGAGCTAGTTCCAGGACAGGTTCCAAAGCCACAGAGAAACCCTGTTTCGAAAAACCAAAAATAAATAAATAAATAAAAGTTTCTGAGGTCCCCTGCCCCACAGGGTTTCTGAGATTTTTATACCATCATGTTAATGTTTTCAGTTTGAGCCAAACTTCAGCTTCAGCTCCACCAAACTTCACGTTGCCCCAGTACAAGAGCAAACTCAGTATTTCATCGGAGCCGCCAGTTTTGTCTTTCCCTCTCCGTGCAACACTGTGGGGCCGTGCTACAAATCACCTGCATGTGTCTCCATGGACATTTGGCTCGTTTCATCCTTTTGCTGTGTGAACTGTGCTGCTATAAACAACATGGGGCTCGCTCCTGCCACATTGGTGCAAACATCATGGGGCTCGCTCCTGCCACACTGGTGCAAACATCACGGGGCTCGCTCCTGCCACACTGGTGCAAACGCTTCTTCAGAGAACACACCTGGAAGAGGAACGGTTGGAGCAAGGGCGGCTCGGCTGTAAGAGATCGCGCCAAATTGCTTTCCAAAGCGGTTAGAGTGATTCACATTCCTACCAACAGTGAGGAAGCAATCCAGCTGTCTGACTTTCATTCTCATTCTCGCCAGTCTGGACGGCAGTGAGTGGAATTTCACTGTGGGTTTGATCTGTATTGTACACAGGCTTGTGACTGTCTCAAGTCCACACTGGTGGATACTATCACGTGACCAGATGAGATTTTTGAACTCTGAACTCTACACTCAAGTGTTAGTTGTCATTCATTAATATTTATTGGTTGCTGATGCCGCAATAACACCACCCCCATGCAGCTTCTCTGGGTAAAAGTTAAACACAGTCGCAACTTGAAATAATAATTTAGTCCGATCCCCATGTCTTAGAGTGCTAGAAATTATAGAAGGCCAAGTTATGAGTGAAGAAAATAATTTATAGGTTGGGGCATAGTTTCAGTGAAAAAGCATGTGCTCCATGTACGGTCAGCTGGGGTCAATCCCTAGCACGGAGTAAAAGGGAAGATGCTTTTCACAGTCGTGGTGCTCCTTATGTATTTATTTCAGTGAAAGCCATAAGGGAATCGGGAGGAAAAGGGAGTTATGTCCACCTAATTCACTCTCTCGGCCACCATAAAGTAATTTGAAAGAGGCGGCGGATCACTGTGGGTCTGAGAATTTTGTTCCTGATTTGGATCTTGGGATGTAGTGGTGCTATTAGGATTTAAATAGAATTACCTTGGTACAGGTGAGGGATCTACAGTGAAGAGTTCATAAAGGAATTTCTTTCCTTTGATGTCACTCTGGATTGTAAACCTGCTGATCGATTAAAAAGCTAAACTTAGTTAAGAGGCTACAACCTTATCCGACTCTAGCCAGGGAACACACCCCAGAACAAGCCAAAGATCCAAGAGAAAATTTAGCAGCAAATGGGCAAAGTCAGGTGAGCTGGTGGGTCTGTCCTTGAGACGGAGCTGTAGGAGTGGAACCTCCAAGCAGGTGGCTTAAGAATGGGATGAGGTTGGACCCGGTGTCTGTGTGGGCTGGACTTGCGATGAGGCTGAGCAGAACAGTGGGAGCTAGCTGGGTGCACTCGGAGCTCTCAGAAAGGAGGCTAAGATGAGTTCTACTTATGGGGGGGGTGTGGTATACATTTAGGTTTTAAAACTCCTTCTTTTCTCTCAGACAAGGTTTTGCTATGTTGTTCAGGCTGGCTTTGAACTCACGGTGTCCCCTGTGCCAGTCTCACACAGCTATCAAGACTTTGGGCGGGGTGGGGGTGGGGCTGGAGAGATGGTTCAGAGGTTAAGAGCACTGCCTGCTCTTCCAGAGGCCCTGAGTTTAATTTCCAGCAACTACATGGTGGCTCACAACCATCTGTAATGAGATCTGGTGCCCTCTTCTGGCCTGCAGGGACATATGCAGACAGAACACTGTATACATAATAAACAAATAAATCTTAAAACAAAACAAAACAAAACAAGAATTTAGAAGTGGTTGGAGAAGATGTGCAGTTCCACGGGACCCAAGTCTAGTTCCCAGCACCTACTTAGCAGCTAATTCCAGGAGATCTGATGCCCTCTTCTGGCCTCCGTTGGTACTGCATGAATGTAGTGCACAGACATATAAGTAGGCAAAACAATCACACACATAAAATAAATTTTAAAGATTGCCAGGTAGTGGTTGCGCACGCGTTTAATCTCAGCACTCGGGAGGCAGAGACAGGCGGATATCTGTGAGTTCGAGGCCAGCCTGGTCTACAGAGCGAGTTCCAGAACAGACTCCAAAACTACAGAGAAACCATCTTGAAAAAAACAAAACAAATAAACAAAAGCCTGTTTCCACTTATGGACTATATAATTCTATGCGGCAAGTAAGTCGGGTTTCTGTGGATGAAAGGAGATTTGTTCAAACTGTTTCAAGAAACACAGGAGACTTTGCAGGTACCGTAGCATCCCAGCCACGGAAAGCGCCTAGCTGTGGGGCAGCCGCACCGGGACTGCAGGTTTTCCCGATGCTTTCACTTAAGAACTCCGTTGCGCTCTTCTGAACTCTACCTTTGTTCCACTTTTTAAAATTATTATTTTTTTTTAAGTTTTTATTTTAAGTTTCCACATACCCAGTCATCTGGCAAACCCAAATCCAGATAAGGGAATCTTGATTGGCCCAGGTTGGCTGCCCTTGGATATCCTCCCGTGACCCAATCAGCGGAGGCGGAGAAAGCCTCACCCCCAGCTGTTTACCGTCCTTACCCTGGTACAGCGGTTTCTTTTATGGACAAACATCTAGAACTGGCAAGCTCTGTGACGGACATCTTTAAAAAGGGAATCTTAAAAAAAAAGAGACGGGGACCCAGAGGCGCTTTAAAGCGCTCCTTCAGCCCGCACGCGAGCGCGCGTGCACACACACACACAATCCACAACGACACGAGGATAATTATGGGTTGTCTAAGTGTGCAGTACAACAATAAGCAGAGATTGGCATGACTTTGAAGAGTATGGAAGAACATGGGGGAATGTTAATAGACTGTCGTTTGGAAAAAGATAGGCTATAAAACTATATACAACATGATCCGAATTTTCTCAGAAAAAGAAATTGTTCACTTAGTGTTTTGTCTGGAAGGGAAAACCAAAGGGCTGGCGGTGTGAGGACTGCTGGTATAAACATCCGAGTGTGGTGGAGGTAGGCCTGTAGTCCCATAGAAGGAGGCTGAGGCAGGAGGATGGTGAAAGGAGACCTGGGCAAGCATATGTGACATAGTGAGACTCTGGCTCAAATAAAGCTATTTGCTCACAACTTTCTAGCGTTACTTAGCGAAAAGCTACATTCTTTTCTTCCACCAGGCGATTCCTTCGGACGTCCACCTCCCTTTGTTTGAACTGGACTGGGACTTTGTCTTCCAGTGCGGTCGGCGCTAGGGCGGCCTGGCTCCGCCCTTCGCCGGTTGCCCAGCTTCCTGACCCGAGGCAGCCGCCTTCCGCTCACATGGCTCCGCTACGCTTCTCGGCCAACGTTTCGTGGCTGTTCCCGGAGCTCCCCGGGCTCCCCGAGCGGCTGCAGGCCGCAGGCCGTG